ACACACACACACACACAGCTACGTCTTCTTCTTCAGAAGTTCTTCCTCCATATGAACATTGAGAAGCTGGGAGGAAATAGCTGAAATGGTTTTTTTTCTTCTTTCAAACCACAGCTATTTGGCAACTGTGTGAACAGACTGATGTCAAGAATTAACATAGGGTAAAAGACAGGCCTGTTTGTGCCTTGGTGCAATCTGGTATTATTGCTGTGCTTTTCTTGAAAGACTTTTTTGATTGTGGAAAGACTGAGACACTCCAGCAACAAATGTAGCTTTGATTAGATCCTTTGAGGAAATCTTGGCATACCATTTCACAGAAGGTCTGCAGTGGAGCAGAGCTTCTAATACTAAGTTCTATTATGTTCTTCTTGAAAGAAAATTAATCAGTGATATTTTTTGAGAGAGAGAGAAAGAGAGAGAAAATCTGCCAGGTATGAGATTAACACTGTGCCTTTTTTTTACAGGAGATGCAAAATTCCTGTACAGTTTTGACTTAATCTGCTGTGACAGTGTCGATACATGGTGAATTTTATCATCAGTTGATTTTCTTTGTTCAAAACAATCATGTGGAAATAGGCAAAGTCTACATTGACAAAGGAGTACGCTTAAGAAAGGCAGTATAGTTTATGGAAGAAAAAAAAAAGATTAGCCATGTTACACTGTTTAGGTTTTTTTTGTTTGTTTGTTTTTGTTTTTAGTGTGAGAGGTCAGTGTAGCCAAACAGACCACAGATGACTTTTACTCATTTGAGTCAAAGCCTCAAGTCTGGAGGGTTTTTTTGTGTTTGTTTGTTTAAAAACACACACACACACACACACACACTGCGTTTTCAAGCATCTCAGTGAAAACAATCATGATGAATGACAGCAGATAGACTCATTCAGGCCCTGTGATGGAGGAAGCGTGGAAATCGTCTATCTTTGTCACAGCTGGAGAGAAGGTGGGTGAAAGTGGAGAGGGGGCAGGTAGGGACAAGGAGGAAAAGGGGAGGACAATAAATGGAAATCAGCAAGAAGCACACTGAAGGTTAGGAAAAACACTATATTCTTTATTGAAAAAATATTAGTATATGTAATTTTTTCTCTCTCCTATTTGTTTGTAATAATATAACTCCATGCAACAAAAATAAACAACATAGACTGAAGGCAAGGCCCACCATGCTCCATTTAGGGTTAAAAAAGAACAAAAGCAGCATCCAATGAGCAGACGTGTTGGCTACAGCACATGATTCCAGTACAGCAGGGTACATCTTCACTACAGAAAGATTACATTCAATTTCCACTAGTCAATGTAGAAAAAAAAAAAACAAAAAAAACTATGAATCATAAATGTGAACATGCACCAAAAGTACTATTACCAGAACAAAAGGTAAAGAGAGACCACAGCCAAACAATAAAAGACATTTGTTACTAATAGAGGATATCCTTAGCAGTGCAGGAAAATAGGCATCCCTGTGAAAGGATAGCATTTTGGCCTTAAATTAGTGGGGGTCGGGGGGAACTAGGTAAGTGTTGAACCACCAGTCAGCATTGTTTTAATCGTTTAAAGGTTTGATTTCATTGCCACATCAGGTGGCAAAAAAGCCCTGGAAATTCAGTGTGTTTCAAAGCTTGGAATTTTGCAAAAGGGGAACAAAAAGGATTACACGAAAGAATTGAGACAGTTATGGCAGGTTGTTGTGTGTAGGTGCAGTGTACTTTCTTTACTTACTCGCTTGACTTTTCGAGAGATTAGGGCATTTGCATAAACGCCGAGTTGGAAAACAGGCACGCGTGTGGTACCAAAGTGCATGCCGGGGTTTATTTTTGGTTTTGAATCACTGGTCAATGAAATCACATTAATTGCACCTCATGTAAAGAAAAAGGAGGATGAGCCAAATTGTGGTGTTCAACAATGCAGTGCTTGCAGAAGCTAAAAATGTTAAGAACTGAGTGCTACAGCATTTTGACAGGAAAAATAGACAAAAAAAAGGTGCTGTGGTCTAGGTGTTAGCTATTGTTTAAGCTGAACATGGAAGAGTCTATGTCTGAACACATCTCCGGAGAAAGGGGAGGGTGCTTTATTTAATACCAATGTCGTCTTCTTATGGAAAGAGGAAATGAAGAAGGGATTCACAATACAGCTAAATGCAGAGAACAGGCAGAGGCCACACCACACAGCAGCAGATGATCATTAGCTACACAATGGGGGGGGAGGGAAACACAAAGATCTGATAAATACAGAATGTAGAGCCAGCCTCCATACTATGGAACAGGGACATAAGAACAGAAATAAAGGCACAATAAAATCACTGATGACACTGTTATCAAATTAATGTCACACTGTAGCTTCATCATTGTTCGGCTGTGACCGCATGTGCTCCACTCTCATGAGCTATTCGCCAGCGTCAGACACACAGCTGCTGAATTGCCAATTAGCAAATAAAGGACAAAGAATGTACAAGCGGGTTTGTTATCAGCGGAACGGAAACCCACGCTCCTGAGAGTGAACAGACACGTATCGACGACCGGACAATTTACACAGATAGTGAAAACAATAATTGTTGTGGAAAAGATGGTTAGCAGAAGCAGCATATCATCTGTATATGACATCATCCATGCTCACACAAGCTGACTGGCTGGAGAGGCTACGTCTATTTTGCGGTATTTCTGCAGCGCAAACGCCTGCAGGGGGTTGCGCTTCATGACAATGCATCGTAATGTGGTTCCCGAATTCAAGTAACAAAATGTAACAGCGAGACGTGAGTCTGGACCGCACGTCCACTGCATGTGGAATTCTTTTGTGAAGAAAGTTACAGTACCAGGACATAGACAGAGCCCCGCAGCCAGTTAGCTTACGGCGGCTGTTTTTGACTTTTAATTAGATCCGTTAACGATCGAAAAACATAATGCGATGTTGTTTACAAGAACCTGAAACAAACACTAGTTACAGCAGAGCCACGTTTTTGAATCATTCAAACATTTAAATTTAAAAAAAAATTAAAAAACTTACGCGAACTAAGCAGAAGGCTAAACTCGGACTAGCTGATCGACAGCTGCAGTGAATATTAATATAAAGAGGGCACATGTTTTGGGCATCGGTGTGAATGTTAATCATAATATCGTACCTCTGTTTCTTACTGAGCCGAAAACGGGAAGAACCAGGAACCCCACATGCACTAACACCATCCTGGGATCCGTATCTTGTGATTCTTCGGAGGTTCTTCGGAGAGCTAGAGTAATAGTAGCCCATGCGGATCTACATTCAGGCGGCTGGTTGTTGTTGGCTGGCTGGCAAAGAGCGACCCTAGCAAAGCGAACGCATCGACTGTCTGTCTGACTTTGGCTGCCTGTAGTTGACAAAAGCAGACGTGTCATTGAGCGTACCATCCAAACGAGGGCGTTGTTGAGTCTCTTTAAACGTCCAACGGACAGTCTGTACATCAACCTCGATAAATGGATGACATTGAATGACATTTAGACCTTGAATATAAACAAAACACTGCCAATATTTTATATGGTGAATTACTAATCAGAATTTATTTTTGAAGAGCAGCCTTTTCAATTGCCGTAAGCGATATTAACACATATGAGGGATATAGTCATATGAAGTTTGCTATTTATTTTGATATTCTATTTGTAAAGATAAAGAATGTAGCTCCCTTAGTTGCCCTTTAAGGGGTTTTTACAACACATTTGGAGAGATGATTTTTACATGAAGTTATTGCTTCATGTAATTCCAACCAAACAAATGCAAATAGTGCACGCAAATTTCATCATTTCATCCTCCAAGCTTCAGTGTTTTATAAAGCTTTACGCATTACAATGTTATACCAAAACATTTGGATTATGGTGCATTTTAAAACCCAAATAAATCTATGTACAGTTATCAGTATTGTTCAACGGAGCTCCTAAAGGGACATGGGGGAAAAAGAGAAACGTATCTCGTGCCCACGAGAAAGTAAATCTAAGACATTTTGCCACACATACATACAGGGTAATACATTTTTAAAAAACAATCATGTACGTACTGTATATGATTGTTTTTTATTGTTTTTTGTACGGTTGGGAAAACTAAGATACCGGCATGTCATGCGTGACATACTGTATGTACTGTATATATAGTGAGCATTTAATTAATGTAGGATATCTCAGTTAGACACAGGAGGGCACTGTTGTTGTTGTTGTTGTTCGACTGTTGATAACAGTGTAGGGAGGTTCGTGAAGGGTAAATACGTATACATATACATTGATAACTATGTCGACTCTACTACGCGAATTTTCCCATTTCTTGGATCTTCAAAAGCAACGACTGCGATAGGAGAGGGACCAGTGTATTTCGTGATAACTTTCACGTAATAACGTGATGTCTGTAAAGCACACTGAGTTTGCTTTGTGCATGAAATGCGCTCTATAAATACAATTGAAATTAATGAAATTCTTAAAGTCCATCTGCGAGCCAGGAATATGGCTCGTTTACACGATTCAGTTGAATTGTACTTTATGCTTGGCTTGAGGCATGGTGAGATTTTACAATTATTGCGCTCAGTGGATGAGATTTTTATTCATATGCGCACTCTGAGAAGGATGAGGAGGATGAAGGATGAGGATGAGGATGATTTACATATATACGTATTTACCCTTCACGAACCTCCCTACACACAACAACAACAACAACACTGCCTTCCTGTGTCTAACTGAGGTATCCTACATTAATTAAATGCTCACCATATATACAGTACATATGTCACGCATGACATGCCGGTATCTTAGATTTCCCAACCGTACGTACTGTACATGATTGTTTTTTGTTTTAATGTATTACTCTGTATGTATGTGTGGAAAAATGTCTTAGATATACTCGTGCTCACGAGATACATTTCTTTCTTTCTTTTGTCATGTCCCTTTAGGGGCTCAGTAATTCTGAGCAAACTTCTTTGTTTTTTAGGGAGCTTAGCATTCATGTTTGTTTGGGGCGTTAGTTTAGTGTAAGTATATTGAGCAGTGTTGTCATCCCGACAGTCGGTGGCAGGAGTGAGTCGCTGAGCAGGAAACCTAGCATCAGTGACACTTAAATAGAAGAAGAGTTCATTCAGCCATTACAGTAACTGAGGCAGCGGTGGAGGACAGGTCATTAACCAGCCGACAACATGCTGTCTGTGAGAGTTGCTGCAGCTTTGGCCAGGACCCTGCCCAGGAGGGCTGCATTTGTGAGTATTTATGTAAACATTATATACATAACATAAAACATGATTTATTTTTCCCGCTGTCAACGTAAAGCCCTACGACGTGAACGGTAATGTTGTCGTTGCAGGCCGCTAGCTTACCTTACATACACGAATAGATGCGGCGTTACGTGCTTCCGTAACCAGTAAAATTTTTATGGTTTAAACAATTAGAAGTAAAAGTTACAATCGCTAGCTTATGAGGCTCATTGTCGTTTTGTAGCAGTCGCCTGTGTTGCGTAGCAAGGTGCGTTAAACGTCGCAAGTATGCTAATGTTAGCTTTATGCTAACGGTCCATTCAGCCACGCTTTGAAGGTCAGGAAGACTGACAGCGCATGTCCTCTCCGCTGCACACAGTCACTGCAATATGACGTTTACTGTAGCACTTTAAACACTCCCGATTGTTACTTAATGGCTGATTTGACGTTTTATTGTCTTAATCTCTCCACTAAACGCGTCGGTTTTATTTAACATAGGTTTCCAAGGCTGTACCGGCCGCCTGCGTTGGGGTCAACCATATCCATACACACAGACCATGGCTGCAGAAGACAGGTGAGAAAAGCAACAACATTAGGACATGCATTCTAACCTTCAACCAGCTACAGTTACTTAACGTGATTATTTAAGCTAGACGACCAGACTATGCTTCTAAAAGATTTCCTGAAGCTATTGTGTGCTTTGTGTATCACCTAGAAATGTGAACATATCGATTGACTTTCTAATTATATATCTAGTTTGTGATTCTGATGAAAATATCCAGTAAGACATCCAAAAATGTTTTGTCATTAGCATTGCATCATTTGCAAACAAATTTCTATAGGATGACAATGAAATGTATATAGAATAGTGGAGCAGAATTGTCTATTTTTATTTTTAGTAATTTTCTATTTTAAAAAAGCATTGTCATTTCATGAAATGATGAATCACTCTACTTGTATTTTGCCATCATGCTCATACAGTAATGTAATAAAAAAGGACCCTGAAAAGGCTACAGTAAATGGTGAATACTTTTCTGGATATTAAATGATAATTGATCATTTTGATCACTAAATTGTGCTTTTATACTAGTTTGTTCTAATGTTGTTGGTGAACACATGTTTGAAGCAGAAAATTGAAATTGGTTTAAAGTAACTATTATAAAACAAGTCATTTAAGAGTCCACATTACTTTATTAGGCAATTAGTTATTGATTATAATTATTAGTACACTAATAACCTGAACCATGTTTTAAGTAAGGTCTATTTTATACGGCAAACAATATAGACACATTTAAGGCGTACAGATTTGTTTTTCCAACCTAAAGCAATAGTGCCTCCTTCCTTCTTCACTTGTTTTTACATTGGAGACCTTATTACACTGGAAGATTCCATATAAAAAAAAAACTCTTCTCTTTCACAGGCACAGCTGAGGTGTCTTCCATCCTGGAAGAGAAGATCATGGGAGCCGACACCTCTGCTGACCTGGAGGAGACTGGACGCGTGCTATCCATTGGTGATGGTATTGCCAGAGTGTACGGGCTGAGGAATGTCCAGGCAGAAGAGATGGTGGAGTTCTCCTCTGGTCTGAAGGTTTGTCTGAAATACACTTTAAGCATTTCTGATAATCAACATTTTTTTCCTTGTTATTTCAAAGAGATGATTAGTTCTAACTTGTTGTATTTATTTGGTTGTGTCCAGGGTATGTCTCTGAACTTGGAGCCAGACAACGTTGGTGTTGTGGTGTTCGGTAATGACAAACTAATCAAGGAGGGAGACATCGTGAAGAGAACTGGTGCCATTGTGGATGTTCCTGTGGGTGAGGAGCTGCTGGGCCGCGTTGTGGACGCTTTGGGAAACGCCATTGATGGAAAGGTCATTTGATAGATCCATTTCTCCTTGACTTCTGGCTGGTTGTGGACGCAGGCATTGAAATATTTCAAGGCTACTCTTGCCATTTAGTTTAAGGTATATAGTTAGATTTGAACCAACAGTCTTTATTGTGGAAGATACACATCCAACCCACTCTACTGCCAAGAATTTTAGAAAGTGGTCTATGTTAAATAGTGTTGCACAGTGAATGCTTTTTTTTTTTTTTTTTTTTTTTTTTAATTCTTGATACATTGTGTAGCGAAGCAAACCTGTCTCAGCAGCAGAGAGTCCTGGGTTTGTGTCCCAGAGGAGCCGCAAACCTGATAAGGTTCCTCCTCTGTATGCCGCTTTGGATAAATGCGTAAATGTAAATTAATATTTCTTTTGAGTAAAGATTAAAAAAAGGTGTGACATTCTTAAAATAGCAACATGCTGAAATAAAGCCAGATCTTACAATTCTGAATGATTTATCCTGAAGGAATCATTAATATAATTGGAACATAATATTGGTGGGGTAGGGGGTTAAAGATCAAGGGCGTTTAGCATTTTAGAATAATCATGGAAATTAGCATGATGCATGTTAAATGTGTTAAAAGATACTAAAATTCTGTAATGACTTGTGTTTATACTTTTTTTTTTTTTTTTTTTTCCCCTTCCAGTGTCCTCTTGGTTCCAAGATCCGCAGGCGTGTGGGTTTGAAGGCTCCTGGTATCATCCCTCGTATCTCTGTGAGGGAGCCCATGCAGACTGGTATCAAAGCTGTGGACAGTCTGGTGCCCATTGGCAGAGGTCAGCGTGAGCTGATCATTGGTGACAGGCAGACTGGGTAAAGACAATAAATTAGTTTTCTATCATATTCAATACCTAATTAAATTAAGTGGAGTCGTAAGTTTTCTGTTACTATTCATTTTTTCCCATTTTCTCAGAAAAACCGCCATTGCCATCGACACAATCATAAACCAGAAGCGCTTCAATGAGGGAACCGATGAGAAGAAGAAGCTGTACTGCATCTACGTCGCCATCGGACAGAAAAGATCCACCGTGGCCCAGCTGGTGAAGAGGCTGACTGACACTGATGCCATGAAGTACACCATTGTGGTCTCTGCCACTGCCTCTGATGCTGCTCCTCTGCAGTACCTGGCTCCATACTCTGGCTGCTCCATGGGAGAGTACTTCAGAGACAATGGCAAGCATGCCCTGATCATCTATGATGATCTGTCCAAGCAGGTGAGGGCAGAGATCAGTTTATTCCATTGCTCAAATCAATACACTGTGTTCCTGAGCATTTTTGATAAACCTCCTTTTTTTTGTTTCCTCTTTTTTTTTTTTCTCTCTCTCTCCCCCAAGGCTGTTGCCTACCGTCAGATGTCCCTGCTGCTACGTCGTCCCCCTGGTCGTGAGGCCTACCCTGGTGATGTGTTCTACCTGCACTCCCGTCTGCTGGAGAGAGCTGCCAAGATGAACGACAACTTCGGCGGCGGCTCCCTCACTGCCCTCCCCGTCATCGAGACTCAGGCCGGCGATGTGTCTGCCTACATCCCCACCAACGTCATCTCCATCACAGATGGACAGGTTGGTCGTCGTCGTTGTTGTTGTTGTTGTTCAGCTGATCAATGCGCCACTCTATTCATTTGATTTTGTGTTTAATGTCTGACCCTATCTTCTTTGGTAGATTTTCCTGGAGACTGAGCTGTTCTACAAAGGTATCCGCCCAGCTATTAATGTGGGTCTGTCTGTGTCCAGAGTGGGTTCTGCTGCCCAGACCAGAGCCATGAAGCAGGTAACATGTAGCACAAGGATCTTAACAGCCTTCCTTCTGAATAATGAAGTGGCTGCAGTGAAATTTAAAATTGTATGTTTTTTTTATTTTATTATTTCCTCTCACTCGAAGGTGGCTGGTACCATGAAGCTGGAGCTGGCTCAGTACCGTGAAGTCGCTGCCTTTGCTCAATTCGGTTCTGACCTGGACGCTGCCACCCAGCAGCTTCTGAACAGAGGTGTCAGGCTCACTGAGCTGTTGAAGCAGGGACAGTACTGTAAGTGATTTTTTTTTTTTTTTTTTAAATAGTCAGTCGCTTGTGCAGCTCTTATTTCCAATGTGGATCCTAAACCGCGTCTCATAATGTGTTCTCTTAACTCTGACTCTGTTCAGCTCCCATGGCCATTGAGGAGCAGGTAACAGTCATCTATGCTGGTGTCAGAGGTTATCTGGACAAAATGGAACCCAGCAAGATCACAAAGTTCGAGAAGGCCTTCCTGCAGCACATCCTTAGTCAGCAGCAGGACCTGCTCTCAGCAATCAAGTAAGACAAGTGTCTTTGCCAAAATTAACACTTTATCCATTTCACATTTTTATCACAGGGTACAGAGAATAATTGGACCCAAACCCTTTGTTCTCTTGCAGGACTGACGGCAAGATCTCAGAGGCATCAGATGCTAAACTTAAGCAGATTGTACTGAACTTCCTGTCTAGTTTCGAGTAATGGCTAGCACTTCAGGTACTTCAGTGGGCTCCATGTGTTTGTCCTCATCCTGCTTATCTATGTGTGAACACACTGAAGGCCAAATCCTCCATGTACAGATTTCTCCAAATAAAATTTTACAATCCTACTGTGCTGTAAAAGTCCTCTGGTTGTTTGCTTACCTGCAGAAACGCTAGTGTTAAACTGAAGATCAACGGGTTGTGTCAAAAGGATGGACAATATTTTTATTTCAGCAAGTCAAATATGTGTGTTACTGTTCAAGAACTATTAAGTTAACATGTGTAACTGCACAAGCAAGAGCCATCTGCTGTAAACTGCAAATCATTTATCAGGTAACTGACTACTGGTTCCAGAGATTGTACAGAGTCTAGACAAGGTCTAGTTATTCAAATATGACAGACACGGTGTGAAATGTTTGATACTAAAATAAAAACTATTTGTCAAAAACCAGAGATCAGTATTGTCCTTATGTGCTGAGGGCTTTAGCAGATGTGTTTGGACTTGTGTTGAGTGTGAATCAACAATATATTATATTATTACACGCTTTATAAAACAACTCGTATGGGAACTTATTCAAACAAGTTTCTGATTTTAAAAAAGGCATTTCCGTTCAGTTCTTAGTCTCTACTCGTCTAATAAAAGTGTGTGTTCAATCATTGATTTCAGAGATTTCTTTGATTTGAGGTAGATAGATGTACTTTATTGATCACAGGCTGGGAAACTGCAGTGTAGCAGCAGCATACACTGCTGATGGTACAATAGGTGGTATAATATGTAGCTCAGGTTCACTTCACTACTTAACTGCAAAAAAAAGTCTGATGTCTAAGTAGTGTTTTAGGGCTTTGGTTGTTTGGTTTTTAAATTTTGCTTGTTTTAAAAGTGATTAACATCTTCATGTATCTTCCATCATCCACCATCTGTAATACGATTTGTGTCCAGTGGATGGCCACATATCCCAACAAAAGCACCGTATTTCTGACAACGCAATGTTTTTAGCTGAGAACATTGGGATTTCGTCAAACATCGGTACATAATAATCGAATTGACTACAAATAGCAGTTCTGAAAGATAATAATATATAATTATCATAAAAGTATTGCTTTTGTTTTTACCAGTACCTCTCATGGAAATAAATATAACACTAAGAAAAGAGGAGAGTCTTGTTTTCAAAAAGCTTCTAATGGTAAAAGCAGGACTATTTTTTAAATTAACATTACGTTGATGTTGTTATTCACATTTGATACAAACCCAGATATTTGTGTAGAAACCCTTAGTTTGAGACTCACTGACTGTGTGGTAACGCAACACAGACAACCGAGCAACATTTTCTACATAGTTTGTCTGTTTTGTTGAGGAAGCTAATGGTTTAGCAATGTAGTTCTGCCTCGGGACTTTCACACGATCCCTGTACTGAAATGGGCTGTGACTGAATTAAAGAGGGGAGAGGAATGTGACCCAAAGAACACCACCACCCACCACCCCAGTTAGAGTGCAGACATATGTACAATTACAAATTAGGTAAATACTAATGGCTGACAATAAAATGGAGTTCATGTTCTCTTCAGAGTGATTCATTAAAAATATTATAAAAAATATCTGCTTCAACTCTGGAGGCTGTCAGTGAAAACCTCACTGTGAGTCAATTGTTTCTCCAGCAGCTTCACTGCTTGGCAGGATAAAATGAGACATGTGACCAGAGAGGTAATGGAGCAGCTTTCAATAAGAACTATTGTCCAGGTCAATGTGACACTAAGAGCAAAAGAGCTGTGTGAGCAAACAGACAATGGAGCGGCACTGACATATTACACAATGACTGCACAAAATCGCTGCTCTCCACCGTCCAGACTAGAGTCTCTAAAACTCTCAGGGTCGAAGACAGTTTGGATAAAACCGGCTAAAGAAAGACTCAAGTGGATCAACCTGGACACAAACTGTTGATATCTTTTATTTTGTTGATAGTTTTGGTGCAATTTATTCACATAAACAGAAATTGTGCAATGATAACAGCTGAATGAATGGTTGTCCAGTTGTTTACTGGACAACCATTCATTCAGCTGTTATCATTGCACAATTTTTGTGCTATTTAGGAAGGAAAGGAAATAAAAGTGAACTCATTTTGTGATTGTGACACAGCACACCACTGCACACAACCAAATTGAGAAAATTGAGTTTCATGTCAAACAATGTGAAGATGCTAAGGAGACAACAACGTCTCCTGTCCAAGAGAAGATCAGTTGTTTGTAGGCAACAAGCTTAGAGTTTGTGATGGTGTTGAAGCTATGGATTGGAGATGTAGATGTTAATCTAACAGTGGCTTCAGTGCAGTCAAAGCTGGGAGACAAACCACATTCTACTGAGTTAATCATTTTTATAATATTTTATTCACCATATTTTATGAGTGTTTAGCTTTTTGTTGGCTAATCTAAGATTTCTTGGAGTCTTTGTGAAGCTGTTCTTTTGCATTTTTCACTGTGTGGTAAATGTTTTGGTTAACATTCATGAACAAATCACATTAAAGGAATCTTTTTGAATTTATGACAAGATCTTAGCCAATTCTTGTTTTGTTTTTTATTTGGAGTTTCTCTGTTAGGTCTGTCTGTCTCTTCTGGGTTAATTAGTTCCACCACTCTCACCTGTGTCCTGTGATATCTGGTTGATTAGTCCCACTTATCTCACCTGGTACCGGGATATATATACCTCTCCCCCTCGCTGAGTCTGTTTTGCTGCTGTGGATCATTATGTGTCCTCGTCATCCTTGTGTTTTCAGACGGTTTTTGGACTTGGACACATTCTGAGGTTTATCTGGTTTTAGATGAGAATGTTTCAGATATTCACTAAAAAACCTTTTTTAACTCATCATTCATCTAATAGCCTTTCCTAATATTTGTTTTTTTTTTTTGATGGTTTTCATTTAGGGTTTCTTGATTAGCAGGGCTTTGGAACATTTCAAGTATTTCAATGCCCCAAGGCCCTGCTAATTTCTGTCTGTACATAGTTCTGAACAGGTTGTTAGCAATATAATTGGAATGTGGATGACTAGTTGGCATTCACTCTGCTGTTTGTTTCATTTTCTGTGTGCTCTGTTTATAACATTGTTCAGTCCAATATATGTAGAAATATATATGTACAAACGTTAAAAAAAAAATCAATGCATATCTTCACTAGTCTTTACTCTGTTAAAACTGGTGATTTTGCAACTCTTCCCTAAAAAAAAAAACGTGTTCTTGGATTTGGTAATCAGTGTATGTTCATGTTCATTGAATAATCCTTTGTTGAACAGTGGTGAGGTCTGATGAATCAACTGTACTGATTTCCACCCCAGCTAGCTCAGGCATGGGCAAACTAAGGCCTGGGGGCTGGATGTGGGCCGTCCAAACTTTTTCAAAAGCGGGTCAAAGTTTGCCCACACCTGAGATAACTGAGACTTGTATAATGTACTGTCAGGGTAATGTTGGTTTTTACTTGTTTTAATTGCTTCAGTGTGATCAATCCTTGGCTTCTATGTCATATTAAAGCAGCAGACAGGTGGCAGTGTTTTACAGTACTGTATGTACATGTTCTGAGATCAGAGACAGAATACAAAAAACTCATTACATTGACTGTGGTTGTTCAGGTCCATGCAGACAAAACCGTCCTCGACTGCAGTAATACAATACAAATTATACAGGTCTGTGCATGTGAGACACGTTGGTGTCTGAGTCAGAGGACAGTCATTTTCTCTGTCCTCCGACCCTGACTCTGCAGTCCTCGTATTTACTCGTCAGTTCTTGAAGAACCACAAATGAGTCGACGCGTCTCATTTCCATTCACGCACATCTGTGATTTATTCTTTAAAAACAAATTGCACAATTATCGGTATCAAAACGTCTCAACATTTCTTTATTCATGTTTTTCCTCACTGCCTTTTTTTATTATATAAATGTTCTGCAAGACAAGTTCTGAGACAAAAAATAGGTCAAAACCAGAACAAATTAAAAAAAAAACAAAAAAAAATCCCTGCAGTTATTGATACCAGGGAAACTCCAGGCATAGGAGGGCAGCGACAGTGGATAGCAGCATTCTGGCTAAGGCATAAAATCAAATATATATTTTTATGAGTTCCTGCTCCATCGAGCTGTGAGGACGGTCCAGTCCAGGTTTTCTTTTTCACAGGTGCCAGACTCTCTACAAGCCTGCTTGCAGTGTGCACAGAGATGCTCATTATATTCAGGGCAAAAGGAATTTCATTCATTGAAAATGGCAACATCAGACCAATGTAAACCAGAAACCACATTTCAAACAAGTGTACACTGTAAAAAGACTTTTTTTTTTTTCTGTATGAAAAAACATCGCACTGTATTTTGGTGTGTAATTCCCTGAGGAATTATAATCATGTGAGATCAGTCTGAATCATCGGCGTCTTTACACCTCAATAAAGTGCAATTACGGTCTTTTCTGTGATTCCCTTTCACGTGTACACTAAGGGTATCAAAAACATAGCCTGTGGATACTGGTTTTACAAAATATAACTGTGAAGAGCCAGCGGTTTAGAGACCCTCCTCAGTGTTATATTCAGGTCTTCTGTGGTCATTTTAACATTTACTGTATTCTACAAAGAAACACAGATGATCCTGCGTCAGTCAGTGCTACCATAGTGGTTCAAACTTGTGGTTGTGTTTTCATGTAAACTAGTGGGTGAGGCTTCTTCTTCCTGCGCTACCGCTGCATCTAGCGGTTGTTCAAAATAGTTGGCCACACAAGAAACCTGCAGAGAGAACATTCCACATGTGAATGTTAGGTCTAAGTGCTGTGAGTGGCTTACGGTATACATGTCAGGTTCTGTTAGCACAATAGTCAGCTTACAGTTACAGTCGTGTGTAAGAACGATACCTGTTCACTACGGGTGTAGAAAAATATCGATACACTGAAATATCACAATATTTGGTTTCATGTTACCGTATTGATATTCTTCAGCATTCTATCCATTTGTTTTTAAATTATCAATAAACCTGAAAATATTCAGCAACCCGATGTTAATCGTTAACAGCACTGTTATCCTGACAGTTTTCCTAGAATGAAATTGCTTTTAAAAAACCCCCTCAATGTATAGTTGTGCCTGTAGTATTGAAGTCTATCGCAATATATTGTATCGTTGACCCTGTATCGTGATACGTATTGCATCGCCAGATTATTGTCGATACATACCCCTACTGTTCACCATATATATTGCAAATGTATTTATACACTTAATGCACTGTTCTACAGCTAAGGTAATGAAGCTAAGGTCTCAAACGGTTTTAGTTTTATTTTAATTTGGAGTATGGTGAAAGACGATTGGTTTGCTGCTTTTCATTGTTTTAATAGTTAATTGAATGTGTTGGAGCAGGAGCAGGTGTCTTTTGTAGAAGCTCTGTAATGGTTTAGGACTGCATTCTAGCCAGTAGTGTTAAAGACGACGAAGTGTTTAAAAGCTTGTTACTATCTCTTTGGGTGTTACACAATTGCACCACAACAATTCAGCTTTGTGCTTCAAAGTACCGGTGTATTACATCATGAACCATGAATAATATGGTTTTCCCAATGAACTTACTGTGAAAATGGCCACCAAACCTCCATGCAGGAGGCCAGTGAGCACATCACTCCAGTGATGTTTGTAGTCAGACACTCGGGACAGACCCACATACACGGCAGTGGCAAAAAGGAAGAACTGGATGGTGGGACGGAAGAGCCTGGCCCACACCACCTTCAGTCTGGCTTGAATATAGAGCTGCAGAATAAGAGTGATTATCAGAGACTGTAACTGTTATTGTTGAGACCTTATGGTGGTTTGTTTAAATGGCAGCAACTTGTTGTTGTTGTTGTTAACAGTAACAGTACTTACTATAAGGAAGAGCATGCAGTACATGGAGAATGATGAGTGGCCAGAGTAGAAGGACAGCCTGCAAAGAAAAAGTGAAACCAGTCTTTCAACCATTTACTGAATATTTGTGGTTAAAGAAAAGTGGCATTTCATAGAAAATAAACCCACTTTCGTTCCTTAACACTAAAGGTTAGCCTGATGAAGTTAATATTTCACAATCATAATAAAATTATAAAATGTTTATTGCATTTACTATTGGTGCTGTTGGAATCACACTTTTATGTGAGTGCCCTAAATTTAAAGGGATAGTTCAGGTTCTTTAAAGTGTAGTTATGTCTCTGATTTGTTTTCTGTATAATGATAAGGAAAGTGGAAAGGAAAGTAAACTACTTTCATTGTGACCCAGCACACAGTCAAATGTGACCTCTGCTTTTAACTCATCACCAAAATGAACAGTAGGCAGCTTTAAGGCGGAGCAATGTGTGTGGACGGTGCCATGCCCAGAGCACCTCAGTGGTAACTTGGCAGCTGGTGGACTCAAACCTGAAGCCTTCCGGACCCACGTCCGCTTCCTTAACCATTAAGCCACAACTGGATGCTAACCAACTTGTTGCTAATGTATGTTGACACAAAAACTGATCCAGAATATCCGGATCTGCCAAGACTTTGACCAGTTTTTCAGGTACCAGCATCTGTGACTGTAACAGAATCTGTATCATGTGTTTCTAACTCTCTTCTCCAGTCAGGAGGAATTTATATGCAAACAATGCTGTGCTGTGTAAACAGACCAGTCAGTCAGTGTGGCCAATGTTTTGATGACCTTGCAAATGTGGTTGTGCATGTGCTAAGGAAGAGGGAGCCAGATTTGTGTGTGATAAACGTCTGTCGGAACATTGTTGACTCAGACGTTGCAAATTCTACCTATTCACTTTAAATAGTCATTAAAGACCATCGTCTGGTCTTTGAAATTATTTATAGGCATTTTCCCCCAACTGTAACCATGGCCTGACCCAGTCCTGCAGCCCTGACCTTTAGTGACATTTACTATGTAGTAAATCATATCCAGTTTTACTACCTGGCCTCATCCACCAGAAACTTGTCTTCAGTGCAGGTGAAACTCTCGATGTATCCACCGTTTTTGCAGTTAATCTGATCCCAGACTGGTTTACAAACAGCCAGGAAGTTTGGCCTCAATCGACCAATGGAGTATTTGGCTATATCTGTCAGTGACTGGCTGACCGCAGCTCCAAACACGTAGCTTCCAACAGCTTTGTAGATACATGCCACATACTTGGTCCCTGCAGAACGTTTCTTGATGCAGGAAAAGTAAACGGAGAGGCACTCCCCACAGACAATCTGCAACAGAAATGATTTAACAATTATTGATTTTCTATTTTCCAATTAAACCTTCACATTCAGTGTTCTTCATTATGCAGATTCTCATCATCCATTGTTCTCTTTTATTCTGTAGAACAGTGGTTCCCACACTGCACCCTCCCTTTTTGTGCCCCATTAGTTCCTTATTGCTGTTTCATTACTGCATTTTAGCCCACACTTTATAATCTGCAGTTTGAATTCTGTGTTCTATGGGAAATTTTTATTTTCAGTCTGCTCTTTGTGTTTTTGAGTTGAGTGTTGTATTGTGTTTTTGTCTCTTAAGGAGTCCACATTGTGTGGTCTTTTAATGTTTCAGCGGTGCATTAGGAGGGTTTAGTTGCGAAAAGTGTTGACTGTGCCCTCTTGTGGATGTACATGTTATGGAGCGTATTTTTGTTATATAGGTCACAGCTTCCTGGACCTGCCAAAATACTAAAAAAAAAGAAGCATGTTTTATAGTTCAGAAAACACAGTCGCTCAACACAATCATAATACTACAAATCTCCTAATGTAATTGCACTGTCATAACAAGGAGTGTCTTAAACTC